GGTGACAGACAGCCTGCAGGGGACCATAACACAGCCTGAGCACCCAATGGCCGGGTGATAGACAGTCTGCAGGGGACCATAACACAGCCTGAGCACCCAATGGCCGGGTGATAGACAGTCTGCAGGGCAGTACCCATTGCAAGGCTCGATGAATGGCATTCGAAAAGGAACATCAGAGAAGCGACTTTGTGTATTTGTTATAGAATTGGGCCCCCCTTTCCTGCAGTCTTCCCCCTTTCCTACCCCAAGTCTGCTTTCTCTTTGTAGCTCTTACTGCAGGTGCTGGAGGCACTGGACCCCGAGAGGAAGCTGGAGGACACGTGGGCTTGTCGTCAGGATACCAGGAAGTTAACGAAGGGACCCACAAAGCTGGAAGAAAAACGCCCTTCTCAAGTGTGCCTGTGAGTACTGCTGACGTCTGTCCCCTAACAAACATCTATGATAAGGATGGCCTTATCATATTTAGAATAATCTTGCTCATTTGGGTTTTTTGTTTTGCTAGTTACAACAACAACAAAACAAAACACCTCCCAGTTTCATTTAGGTCAGGCTGACCTCCAACTCATTATGATGCCAAGGGTGACCTAGAGTGCCTGATCTTCCTGCCCGCGTTTCCCGAGGCTGGGATTTTAGTTCCGGGCCTCCACCCCTGGGTATCCAGAAGACTTTTAAAGAAGCACTGGCAATAAAGACTTGCGGAGGAAGACAAGTCTTGGCTCCCATGGATGTACAAACACGGCCACCCATCTAGCTTTTCTTTGACAAGATGAGGGCAAAAAACCCCATGAATTGACTTTGTTCAACATGGCAGCCCAGTGGTTGGTTGGAAAATCATTTGCACATGTGTGCACATATGCATGACACAGGGAATTGTCAAAGACACGCTCGCTAGCCTTTTTTTTTTTTTTTTTTTTTCATCTTCCTGCCTCGACTTCCAGAGTGCTGGGATTACAGGCTTGGGCCACCACACCTGGCTACCTGCTTGTCATCTAAAGCAATCATAAAATCTTCTGTTTGGAAGGCCTGCTCATCTTTGCCGGTATAAACCAGGACCACAGTTGCTTCCTTCTCTGAAACTTTCCAAAGTATGAAACTTAGTAGAAACTCTTTTGTAGCACGCCCTTGCTCCCCCAGTCCCATATTATACATTTAATAATGTAAATGTCGACATAAGGTAAGTATTGACACAGATAGATCTGGGATACTGGATGAGCTCCCCAGTGGGTGCTGAGGAGGAGGGTGACCGAGGGACCTTGGGTGACAAGGATACTGTTGTTGTTGCATTTCTTGCTCTCTGGTGTATCTGGGGAGAGAGCTGCTCACTTCATTTCTGCCCTTCTCCCACTGGAGAGGGGGAGGACTCATGGGGAGCACAAGTTCTTCTCCTTCTCTGTGCTGGACGGAGAGTCCTCCCCGGTGGGGACTGGGTAGGAGAGTCTGCCGGTTTATGGTCTTCAGTGAACAAGTCCTCTTGGACCTAACGCTACATCCACCAACATGGCAGCTGCTTGTTACAGAAGGGAAGCTTTGGCTTCTGTCCTCACTGTTTATACTGTCTTTCAAGCTGCTCAGAACCTGGACTTGGAAGAGAGGAACACTGTATGTAGAGATATAATGTACAATATAGTACGATGATAACGGCAGCATCTGGCTTTCACTGTGGGCAATCTACGTGGTTAAAATCTCTAAGGGAGTGGTTCTCAACCTTCTTAACAGTACAACCCTTTAATATCATTCTTCATGTTGCAGTGACCTTCCCCAACAATAAAATTATTTCACTGCTACTTCATAACTAATTTTCTCCTGTTGTGAACTATTCATATGTAATATGAATATTTGATATGTGAGTCCTCCAAAGGGGCCACAACCCACGGGCTGAGAACCACTGCTCTAAGGTCAGACATTGCAAACAAGTGGAAGCTGGTTACCCACCCACTCGGAAGAAGTCCAACAGTAATATATTAATGTTAGCACATCATAAAGGACATATGTCATTTCACAGAGGTGAGCTGGGCTGTTAGCGTATGCATTCCTTTCCTTTGGCTGCTGTGAAATTTCAACACAAATGGTGTCTGAAAACAGTAGAAGTGTTTGTCCAACATTTAATAACAGCTCTGAGGCCTACAGTCTGAAATGACTGTCACAGCTGAACTCAAATGTCAGCAGGGCTGTGTTCCCCCCAGAGGCTGCAGGGAAATTTGTTCCTTGCCCCCTCTAGTCTCTGGTGGCTGCTGGTGTTCCGTGGCTTGTGACGACATCGTTCCAAACTTCAAGGCCAGTAGTAGCTCCGTGTCTCTGTCTGGTGTCCTCATGTGGCCCGCTCTTGTGTGTCAAGTTTTCCTCTCTCTGTCCTTCAAGAGCACCAGTGATGGTGTGTGACCCAGCGAGATAATCCAGCATAATCTCCCGGTCTCAGAAGTGTGGATGAATCACACCTGCAAAGACTCCTCGCAAGGAGAGTCACACAGTTCCAAGGATTAGCACCTGATCTCTTCAGAGGCCTCCATGACCCTACCAGAGCATGAGGTGACACCAGCACCCTGGAAAACAAGCTCCCTTGGCCAGATCCTCTATCCTTTGCTCTGAGAAGAACCTTTGAAGGGAGGAGGCATCCAAACTCACTTCCCTCTTGATCCCACAGCAGTCAAGCTTCCTTCAGTGACCTTGCCCTTGGTGAAGGTCACATTGACACCTCTGCTGCTCCATCAGCCACGTGGCCTATTGCTCTGACAAAATGTCCGGCAGAAGCAGTGTCAGGGAGAAAGGATTTATTCAGCTCACAGTTCGAGAGGGTGCCGTCCATCATGGCGGGGGAGACATGGGGGTAGGGCAGACTCACAGCCAAGGCACCAGGAACGTCCTCCAGCTGCCTGCCACCGGAAGCCCAGCAGGAAGTAGAGAGCTTGGGTCAAGAGCAGGGTCAGGCTCTATCCCTCAAGCCCTGCCCCCAACAGTTTCTTCTACCTTCCTTTCAGAAGTTCCATAAATCGGAACAGCTCCAGCTAGCGACCAAGTATTAAATACCGGAGTTGACGGGGGTGCATTTCCCATTCAAACCCTAACGGTTACTAAACAAGTGTTCACTGACCACCACATAGTCATCGAGGGTACAGCGAAGCACCAGACTGGACCGCCGCACGGGTAGAAAGGTTTAATTGGCCGCCAAACTGCCAAAGCTGTCTGGGGGGG